TAGTCCCAATAGGCTTGATGTTAAGAAAGAATCTCTTGCAGGAAGGTTGGCTAGAGATTTCTTGTAAAAACACTAGTCCTGCTGAGTTCATAATGAGAATATTTTCATCGCTGAATCTTTTTTGATTCTGTGTATTATTCTCATTATGCACATAAGGGAGGAGCCGAATGAGGTGAAAATCTCACGTACGGTTCTGGAACGGAGATTCTTTCAATTGAATGACAACCGTAACGGATATCGGCTCAATCCGAAGGAAATTACGCGGAAGCTTTGTGGAATTATTATGAAGCTATGCGACTAGAAATTGATCCTATGATCGAAGTTATATACTCTATAATATAGGGCTTATCCACACAAGTAATGGAGAACATACGAAAGCTTTGAAATATTATTTTCGAGCACTAGAACTAAACCCATTCTTACCACAAGCTTTTAATAATATGGCCGTGATCTGTCATTAGGTGCGACTATCTCCACTATAGAAAGAAAAAAAAAAAAAAAAAATCTAGTAAAGTAACTACTAGAACCAAATAGGCTTTCTACATATGCATCATCTAAAACAACGATTTTTATCAGCTGTAGCAAAGAAAGAAACTTCATAGAAGTCAAAATAGGAAAAAATAAAAATGCCTAACAACTTTTTTCTATGGATATAAGGCTTTAATTGATAGAGATAGAGGAAGCACCGTAAAGATCAATTAGCAAGATTTTGGGCCGATACAATAATAACTGCGTGCTTATGTCATGATGGAAGAAATACTTATCTCATGATGTGAGATAAAAATTAGGAATTAACTTATGTAATAGAGTCGATCCACTAAAGTCTTGAGCAGCGGTGTAGGATCAGATCCCAAAGATAGTAAGTATTTTCTTTCTTATGAAAGAAAGTCTTTTTCAAAGATTCTATATAAATTTATCTATGAAACCGAGATAGTTACCTTTCATAAAATTCTAACACTAGATGCCTATGCTTTATTCTTCTGAACAAACAAGTGGGAGAGGCAGGATTCGAACCTACGTAGAAAAACTTCAACAGATTTACAGTCTGCCGCTTTTGACCACTCGGCCACTCTCCCCTTCCCGGGCCGAGGCCCCCCTCAATGGGTTCTAACTCTAAGAAGGGGGCGGCGCTCTGAATCAATCAAAATGCTTATTGATTTAATTGAAGGGAACTAAGACGATTAGCTTAGCTAGCGTTCCGGGAGAATCTAGTCATTTAGTCAGTTCATAACTATCTCTGTAAAGCAAGGGGTAAACCTTCTATGAAAGCTTCCCCCTCATGTAGTCGTCGGCCTTCCCCAGCCCCCCCTCGTCGCTTCTGGCGAAGCTGCGAGTTCATGAGCAAGTGAATGAAGGAGCCATGTTCCTAAAAGAAAATGACCCTCTTTCTTTTCTTTTCTTCCCCTATCCCTTCAAAGCCCTTGTATAGGTTGGGCGCTAGCGCTTTACTAATATAATAAAAAGTCAGGCTCTTCAGCTGAGCGAAGCTGCGAGCCTATTAAATATAGCTTACGCTTACCAAGCCTAATCTACAAAAATAGGGCTACAGCAAGCAAATCAAGTTTTCCCCCTTCGTTTGTTCTGGGTCGCGCCTCACCGCAGGCACTGAATGAATGAAATGAGTTGTAGATATTCCTCCATTTCCATCCCCGAGCATTTTTAATTTTCCATTTATAAAAAAATACCACTATTGGTTCATTCTTCATCTAATTAGATAGATTAGATAAATGATCTAGCAATGATGGCATTTCTATTTTGTTTACCGAATCACATGAAATTTTACCCAACTCCATATCTCGAATGGATGAAATACGTATGAACAGAGGAAGAAAGAGAATTTTCTACTTAAATTGAATTGGAATTTATTGGAATTTTCAACAGATACAAATGGAAAGAAATTGATAAAACATCATGTTTGAACATGCATTTCACTTAAAAAATGTTGCAATTTTGTGAGTGAGGAAAAAAGTTATTCTCAAAATTTTGAAAAAGTGATCAAAATCACTTTTTGGTTTTGAAAAACTCATTTTTGAAAAAATTCTCAAAACTTGCAAAATTTCACGGACAAACACATTTTTTTAAAAAAATCTAAAAAAAGGAAAAAAAATTCTATAATATTTATTTCATATTCAGTTACATATATTAATTTTTAAGAAAATATTAGTATAAATAGATTTAAAATTATGCTATTTTAATGTGATTTATACTGTAGTTGATAAGAGACCAACACAAACATTACTTTTATTTTTCTTCAAAATGTATTTTTTATAGGAAAAATGATATAGTATAGCCGCTTTCAAAATAATAGACGAAAAATGTGTATTTTTTGTGTATATGTACATTCTGTATGTTATATACAATATTATATAAATTTTATATACTTTTTCGACTACCAAATATAAATAGTTTGTGGTGCCAACTAAAACTAAAAAGGCCCTATTCTATATGTTTACTTAGATGATAAATGCTTTAAGTTGTGATGAATCACATTGTATAATTAACTGTTCATTCAGGGGAAATTCTTTCTAAAGCAGTAAGAGGGTACTTTTGTCTTGTTTTTCTTATCCAATTGCTCCTAGAGTGAGCTAACTCTAGAAAATTCGTTCATCAATTCAAATTTCAGGCTGCAACTCGTTTGGATGAAGCCAATTTAAATAAATATAAAATTAAAATATAATTAATCATGAATATACCATATATAGAATATATGGAAATTTATGTTTTGTTTTTGTTGGTAAAATAGGATATATATGTGTGTGTGAGTACGTATACGTGGCTTTGTGTATGTGTTTTAGAATTCTTGTGTAGAGCTGATGAAAATAAGTGGTATTTTAATGTTGGCGAAATGGCTTCCTAGCCACTTAAACTTGTATCAGTTTGTAAAGCCGACATATGAACTCTTGAGTTTTCCATTTGAACACCTTTATTTGAAAAAATGGCTACTAATAAACATTTGTGATGTGTTCAATTGCTGTTGACATGGATTTAATGTAATATTTTATATAGCCACATCATCCATTCATTCACATTTCATTGACACCTGTATCTTCAAGGTCCCAATTTGTGGGCCCTGGTTTTTTTCAAAATTTATTAAATTTCTATTTTTTTCCTCTCTCCCTTCTTTTATTCTTCACCTCCTAGGCACGAACTGTAAACAAAAGCTCTGATAATGGAGACTGAAGTTCAACCGAATTTCACCTATTTGAGAAGAACCTTCACCGATCTCAGTATTAACGCAAGTTCCTCAGCCTTGAGTGATTGCAACAATGATAGATCCGGCGAGTTTCCAACTGCTTCTTCACAAAGCCGGCGGCTATCTTTGTCTTGCGCTTCTGAAAACTCCGATGAATTAATCGAGCAACTTGTCTCTGGTCTCGAGTCGGCGGCTATTTCAGAGGGATAGCAATCTGGAGAGGTTCAATCTGGAGATTGGACTATATCATCTGGAGTTAGAAAGTTTGTTGGAACAAGGGTTTGCTTGTTCTTTAGGGAGATCTCTTGAGCATTATTTTCTTCAGAAAATTTTGGAACAAATGAAGGGTTGTCAACTTAAATATTATTTTTTGTAGCTCTTGTGTAGGGCTTTGTTGTGATGAGTGATTAGTTTTCTAGGCATTGAGACTAGTTTTCTTCTGGTTATTGGAGTTTGGTGTTGATATCTTGGAAGGAGTTACGCGAGTGCATTGGGGTGTGCTAAGGTTCTGAGCTTTTTCCTTTGTTTGGGTTGTGTTCTATGTTTTGCTAGAAGTGGCTATGTTCCAAAATTAAATGCTTGACTTTATTAATATGGTAGAATAGAAGGGGGAGGGGGAAAGGGAGGTGGGAGTTTGGTAGGGAAGACGAGGGGAAAAGAGAAGGGGAAAGGGAAATGTCTCTTTTTTCTTTTTCTTTTTCTTTTTTATAAAAACAATACTTTCACGCGCCTTTGTAGCGTGATTTGCACACAATTTAGCCATGTCAGCTGCGCCGCTTCCACAGGTCAGATGTGTTTATTAGTATTCATTGCATTAAGTTGGAGTGTTCAAATGGAAAAAGTGCAAGTTCATATATCGGCATTTAAAAGTCCTACAAGTTTAAGTGGCCAGGAGCCATTACGCCTTTAATGTTTCAACATTATCTTATCTTAGGACACGTAGAATTTGGCATTTTCAGGTGAAAAGTGGAAGCATCTGTTTGGATTCAAGTGCAAATCTCCACTGTCTAGCTCACTCGAGGAAAAACTTGTCTACAACATATCCATTGCATGCATGCTGCTCTTAATTGATATTTATTTACTCTCTGAAGTTTCCAAATATTTTTGTTTTATTTTTAATTAAAAAGCATTTTTAGCGGTTTTAGCTTTTAAGAACTTTCTTTGTGTTGAAAATATTCCTATTTCAATTTAAACCGTATCTTGTGATAAGGAGCGGGAGGATTGTCTAGCATACAACTCTTTTTAATGATTTTTCTAGAAACATTTTCAAATCCTGCTCTTACGTTCTTTTTTTTTCTCTTTCCTCTCTATGATCGATCTTCTTGTCGTTCCTAATTAAAACAAAATTTTCCTTTGTAATTTCATAATAATTAACGAGATACAAATACGGTATTCGATGAAATTTTTATGTATAAATTAAAGTGGGATCAGAACAAGTTGAAAGCATTTATTATTAAGTAAGATGTAAATATTTTGAGACGTAATGATAGTTGTAATGATTAACAATATGTTCATTAGTTTTTTTTTTCCCTTAAACAGAGAATCAAATTAATTGGCAAACAGTGACCAGAAGAGTGCACTATAAAGTTGACCACTTCGTTGCCCCTTAGGAACTTGGTGATTTTTTTTTCTTTTTGAAATGTTTTCTAAAATTGTTTATTAGGTGGTGTTTGCTGCAAATATTGAAAATTATTTTTTTCGACAAAATAAATAAATTTGAATTTGATTTTCGCAAACACTAAAAAACTGCGCCAAAGCCTATAAAAACGTGAGCCGTCGAATAGACACGTGAACTAAAGGACCAGAATCGAAAGGCATACGGTAAACCCGCGGAGCAGGAAACTAGTCCACCTCTCTGCGAATTTCCGAAGCCCCCTTCGTTGAAAATTGAAAATCAGAAAAAGGTAAAATTGGAGGAGAGGTTTAGCGGTAGGGACAGAGAAGATCAGAGACGTATGAAAAGGCATAGAGTTACGGCTAATATTTTGAATCAATTTTCACTTCCCTTCGTAAGTTTTTCCCGCGTTTTTTTTTGTGCCTCGAATCGGTTGAAATTTTCTGTATTTTTAATGATTTTTTTGTGTTTTAAATTCTTTACTAATTATAGTTAGATTCATGTATATCTGCAATTTTATTTGTTGCTATTTGTATATCTTGAGATTATATGCAAATCAAACATAAGATTTAACCATCAGATCGAGAAGAAATCGAGCAATCGTTTTAGCAACTTCAATTAGCTGATTTTTATTTGTTTAACTACGTTATAATACTGAATTAGCGAGATTCGATTTCATAATTTTTCAATGCTTAAAATTGCACTAGAATCTGAATATCTAAAAATTGGCGTCAACAGCTGGAAAAAATTAGAAATCCTATACCTTTCTTCCCTGAGGAAAATGAATGAGATTAATCACTTGAAATTTGATTACCACGTCTTGTTCCTTGAATAATCCGATGTTTTTTGGCCTTTAATGGTTTTCCATTATCCTCTTTGAGAAATTAGTAAAACCGGACAGGAAAGGATAGTTGAGATTATAATTTGGTGTTGACTAGATATAACTCGAGAGTCGACCAATTGCACCATAAAGGGAGGAATTTGATTTCAGTGCCTATCTGAATGGGTAAAAACAGAAATTCATGCTATATTTTAAATCAATTGTCAAGGTGAAAATTTCTTTTGAGAAAAATGGGGGAAAGATGACGGTTTTGTTACGAGATCTGAGGATATTTCATGCTTATTTCTAAAGAGATGTGCTTGCACTCTATGGAGGAAATAATAAGTTATCAGCTTGAATTATGGACTAACGATGACTGAATCCTATATGTCATGTGGTGATATAATGAATTAATTGGAAGTAAATAGAAACAATTACGATAAACAAACTGCAGATGTTCATTTAGAGAAACATTAACAACCGATTCTGATGATGCATGGAGATAAACCTTTTAGGAGGTGGAAAGCATCGCAAGTTTGCCATGTTATCTGATTAACAAAGGTGATGATTGCAGCTATTTAGTGCAATAGGAAATCAAATCTACGTATAATAACCAATTTAGTTAAACAAATTCAGATGTATTCACCTGAAAATTTATTCCTTGGTTTGCAATAATTTCAAGTTAGTCTAAAGGAGGTTTGAAACGAGTGGATAATGTTGGAGAAAAAACAGCTTGGATGTCTGAACATTAGCAAGGTCTACCCTGATAAACAATATTATATGGTAGTTAGCATTGGGTATCATATCTGAGCATTACCTGAGTCATGGAACTTGAGTTTGAAGCCATGTGTCCCAATTAGTTTACAATGGTAACTTCTCAACCTAAAACCAGAAAGAATAAAAAAATGATAATATTAGTATGAGAGCAGGTGTTGTGCTGGCTATTTCTGCGCTATGTTTACAGATAGTATTGTTGGAAGGTCATTTTGGCCGTATATGGTTGTGGTTGTAAATCAATATAATGTTCTTTGCATGTCTAATTAGTTTAAGGTCTTAACTAAACATTCTGGGTCAATTTACCATCAAAATGTTACCTTCTGTGAGAGCACATGCTCCTATAAGCGCGTCTAGCCGTCTACCAGTGATGAATGTGGCTTGAGTTCTGAACTTGTTGTATGACCTACGTTTGGCTTAAACTGGATTAGATGTGAATATTAGAACTCTTTTCCAATTTGGAAATTATTTGAATTTTCCAGCTGCTGGCTTCTAACCGAGGTATATCATTGGGTTTAGTGAAGATCCTAATGATGCATCTTAATTTTGTTGGTGGTGCAAACATTATGGATCCTTAAATCATATGTGGCCTTGAGGGAACCCTAATTAAGATGAAATGACTGGTAAAGTCTGTTCCAAATTTATTTTTCACAGTGACGCCTCCTAGCATGAAGAAATAAGAGCCCTTATTATTCTTTTTCTAAAAAAAAAAGAAAAAAAAATTGAAGAAAGATGGGCCTCTCACCAGCGATGTTAGAACAAAGTACACAGGAAAGATGGCTACTGATTATAACCTTTGCATTTTAACAAGTGCAAACAGATTGTATGACGTGGAGTGTGAAGAGTGTAAAAGTGAGAATTCATGTATGCCCTGCTCTGCTGTCCATGGACTATTATTGTCATGGATTTATTTTTAGTTTGTCTATGTACTTTGCTTCCACAATATCTTCTCCAGAAATGAAGTCAAGGAAATCACTGAAGCCTCCTTCTTTGTAGGACAAGATATGTTGTTCATCGACAAGTGCTGGTGCAGGTCTAACTTTCTTGCCTAAAGCTAGACTGAGAAGGCTGGCAATGGAAAGCCGCTTTTTCTCTGAGTTAACTGTTGCTCGGTGGAGAACACCTTTGTATCTACCATTGCTCAATACTTCCATGTGATCTCCCAGCTGAACAATGAGGGCTCCTTCTATGACTGGAACTGAATGCCACTTTCCATCATGATCCATGATTTGCAAGCCCTGATGATTTTGAAGAATGATAGATAGCAAAGCATAATCTGTGTGTGGTGGCAAGCCTAGTGTAAGATCTGGCTCAGGACATGCTGGATAGCAATTAACGGCCATGACCTGGGAGCCTTCTGCAATATCTTCATGTAAGTAACTAGGGTTTAGTCCTAAGCTCTCAAATATCACTCCCATGAGTTCTTCTTGCAACTTTTGTGCTGCGATAGTGTAATTTCCCATTTTCTCCCTGCATGATAAACTGCTTTAGGTACTTAGAGTTATATTATTCTTGAACAGAGAGAAAATATATCTATCAGAAATCATTTCAGATAAGGGTGCAAAACTTACTTGTAACATGTGGGATTTGATGGCCACAAATCAATCCAATTTGAGATTGGATTAGCATAGTGCTTGAGGAAGTCTCTCCAAAAGGATACTTTGTCTTTGACATCATTTAGGCTGGTATTATACCTTACGGGATCATGAACATTTGAAGACAAGAGATGCATTTTCTTTTCATTTGGTAAATCGAAGAACTCAGTCGCAGCTTCTAAGGCATCTTTCATGACTGACAATGGGATTCCATGGTTGACTACCTGCAGAGTCATTTATTGCATGCATGCTGTTATTTTACGTCCAGGTTGAATTAGCGAAGCACGTCTTATTCTCTTTCCTATTAAACCGCTATGTATCTAAAATCTAGGACATCTCTTTTAACTGATCAACTGAAAATAAAGGGAAGAGAGAAGGAGGAAGAGGAGGAGGAGATATGTCTAGAAACCAAGTGCACCGTGTGTGCTGCATGAACATGAAGTTTCTTTTTCTTGATTTCGAAATGCTTTTGTCCCTCTGTGGGGAATCTGACAACATCTTCTATTTACGTGGTGTGTGTATATTGTTCTTCCTTGAATCATATCAGCATGAAGGAACTTTATATATAACAAAATAGGATAAAAAACTATATCATTTTAGTACATGATTGCAGGTGACATGACACGAAAGATGTACCTGGAAGAAACCTAGTTCCTTGCAAGCCAGGTGTGCTTCCTCGATTATCCGAGGCCGTTGAAGAGGGTGTCGCAGAAAGGATAGATCTACAATTGGCAGGCATGTGTTAGACCGGGTTCCATCGGGGCGTAAGGATGGCGGAAGAATGTAACGTTTGGGAACATTGGTTAGACCCTCTTCGGTAAGTGTCATGGCACTAGTAAATGAATCATTTGGTGAAGCTGAGCTCTTTTCCATTTTTCCTCCTTTTTTTCCTTGTTTCAAATATGGCTTAACTCCTTATTTATAAGCAGAAAATATGAAGATTTACTTAAATATATATTTAAAATCATTTATGCGGTTATGCAATGACTGTGTAGTATGTGATGATCCCATGACTATAAGTGATGAAAAGTGTACGCAATGAATTATTATTGTATACTAATATTGTTATTTTTGAAGGCCGAGAAATCTCAGATGACGGTAATTGTTGGTTTCACAAGTTGATCCAGAATGTGGGGAAAAGAAATCCAGAATGTAATTGAATACAGAGATTGTGTTAGATTCAGGTGTCTGTAGCCCACGCGCCATGAGGGAGAATAGTTATCCAAATATTTAAACGTGGGGTACGTAAGGTTGCCATTTGCTTTTGTTGAGGATGTAAGCGGTAAGCGCTCTCTGGAGTTTCAACTCCTTCAATTCGTTGCATTGCGAGTAAGGTTGTTCATGTTTAGATTTGCTTCGCTATGTTAGTTTACTAAATTTATAAATCAAATTAACCAAATATAGAAATTCGTTTCCTTTTTTTTTTTTGGCACTCATCTTTCTTCTGGTATTCGAAATTCGAATATCTCTTGGACTAGGCTTTTACATGGAGGTATAATAGAGGGAACTTTTCTTAGATGTACTATAATAGGACTAGGGGTGTACAAAGAAAACCGATAAATTGCACCAAACCGATAATCCGAATCAAACCGGGGAAAAAAAAAATCAGATTATAGTTTGGTTTGAATTGGTTTGGTGTTGGAAAAAAAGTTCGACTATAATTGGTTTGGTTTGGTTTTAACTAAAAAAAGTCAAATCGACACCAAACCAATCCGACATTACATTTATGCATTTTTTTAAATATATTTTATACATATAAATATTTTTTGTAATATAATCTATAAATTTTTCTTAAAATTTTTCACAACTTTATTATTAAAATATTATTTCAAGTTTCGACTTAATATTCTTGAATGGTCCAATAAATTTTATAGCCCATAATGATGGTAATTCAAATAAATTTCAAATCAATACTAATGCTAACAAGGGAGATTCAATTCCACACTAGAAATGACAAAAGTGTTGGGTATTTATTTTTTTAGTTTTGCATTAGTTTATAATGAAGTCCAGACCCCACTTGTAGGACTCCACTAGGTGGTTATTGTTGTTATTGGTTTAAAATGAAAATGCATAACTTAGTTTATCTTTTTCTTTAGTGCTTAGTTGTGTAACTAATAGTACTTATTAGATGTACTTATTTTAGCATAACCTATACTGTACTTTTAGATTATGTTAATTTTTATTATGACTTATTTAGTAATATTTTTTTATGGATTTTATTATCTTTGTTATTAAATATTTTTTGTACAATGCTATGACTCATCTAATATTATTGTGTTATTTTCTTGAAAAATACATTATATAGTTGTATCCTACTGGGTCTAAAAAAATATTTGGAGCACAAGTTATATGATTCGTGCTATGAAGACTTACCGGAAAAAAAAACCCGAAAATCTAAAAATCGAAAAACCCGAGATTGAAAAATTCGATTTTGTTGGTTTGGTTTGGTTTGGTTTATAGATTTAAAAATCCGACACCATTGGTTTGGTTTGGTAGTTGAAAAATTCGAACCAACGCAACCTATGTACACCCCTAATAAGGACTTTATTACCTATTTTCTCTAGGTTTAGTAGTTTTCAACAAATACCCTAGGTTTTTTTAACGATTTATATACAATTATTGTATTAGCTGTCCAGGTCCGTATTATTTTCCTTTAATACGACGGTGATCTGCGATATTAGTTACAAGCGAAAAAGATTGGATTTATATCACCTCAAATCGATTGATCTGCGCCCAGAATCTCCCTTTCTTCTTTCCTACCATTAACAATAGCTCTGTATAATCAAAATAACATCGATTGAATTTGTATTTTGCTACAATTGAAGAACAAAGTTCAGCACGTAACATATTCGAGGAAAACAAATCATTGGCGTGCCTCTCCGACCAGGAGCGAGCATTCAGGGAAGTTCCGCTACCTCACTATTACTTCAATTCTTAAGCCATGGGGACATGTCTTCATTTTAAGTGTGGGGTGGGGGATACTTCAGTGTATATATGTAGTTGTATAAATCGTATGTATGCTTGTTAGTTTTATTTTGTTTGGTTTTGACAATTTTAGTAATTTAGTAAGAGTTCATTAGTTTAAACTAGGTAAGTGGCTTGTCCTGACGACGGATCTCTTTCGGCGAGGTTCTTGAGGGACTAAGTCGATCAACGAAAAAAAAAAATGGAAAATATGAAGACTCTTCCTGATGACGGATCCTTTGGACAATTTTTTTGAGGGAAGTTAGTCTAGAAAAATACCAAAAAGATTTTTTTTTATTTTTTTTATTTTTAGGTAGTGTAGTAACTCCTCCTTGATTTTTCTTTGGGCCACGGTTCTTTTTCAAGGGTTTAAACATGAACCGGGTATAGGTAGTTTATTTAGTTATTTTATTTTCTTTTTGATTTGTAGATTAGGTTTAACGGGCTACGAGCTAGAAAATCAAAAGAGAACCTATAGCGTCGACACACCTGAACACAACAGAAACTAGAGTGTAACGCTTAGTCTTATTGGTTGAATTTTTCACTAAAGTGCCTTAATTTGTATGTTTGTCACTGACTTGAATACTCATAATGGACAAAAAGTGATCGCAGCGGACTCAACCTTAGGAAGAGTGGGCGCTAATACTTTTACCCAATAGTGGTATCGGGGTCAATTTCCACAGGGAGCTAGAAAGGGAGTTGGACATTTAATTAGCCTAGAAATGCGTGTTTGCTTCTAATTGATCTTCTAATATTTTTGGGTTTTTATGATTATCAACTACAATTTAACAACTACTATTTATAACTAAATTATGCTAAGATATTAATTCTAGGTTGTATGCAAGATAGAGAAAGACACTAGGGTCGTGGCATTTACCTAGCTGGTCAACTAACGGGTAGAGATTCCTAATACAAGAATGATGATTATGGGGCTTATGCTATAACCGTTACACGATTGCACTCACTCTCACACCTCTCGGTAGAAAGAGTGATTTTGCCCAATTGACTCTCTCGAGACCAATTGGGTAGGCCAACAAGCCCAAACAACTTAGGGTTCAAGTTGGGTAATTACTCTCTCGAGGTTTAACCCGTTAATTGGGACTACCATTCTCATGGGTCCATCCCAATTCCTTGTTGGGTTAATTTTGGATTCATAGACACTCTTTCTCAAGAAGAGTCAAGACCCACTAAGCTAGACTTAGTATTTGCAACCACCAAATCCTAGTTAAACCATAAAATTAACCCAAATAGCAAACACCCAACATCATTCAAGCATTAAACAATCACACCCATTAATTACCCACACTAGGGTTGAGCCACAACCCTAGCTAATGGGTTTAGCTAGACATAATAGCAATAGAAATTGAAGAAGTAGTAGATAAAATCAACATATTAATTAACTAGAATGTTAATCTACAAGAATCCACGATAAAACAAGATGAAAATGCCCAAAATAGGCTAAAACTTGAGTCTCACGAGTGCTGCTACTATTTGATATCTAAAACTTGGCCTAGAAATAATAAAATATTCTATTTATACTAAGCTAGAAAAACTGGACAAAAATACCCCTACGGGGCTGGCGCGGACCGAGCAGAAATGCAGCGCGGCCGCGTTGGGTCTTGGCCTTCGATCACTCACTTCTGAAGCTGGGGACGCGGACCGCACAAAGAGCTAGCGCGGCCGCGCAGACTAATGGGCGCAGACCGCACAACTAGGTCCTCTTGTCCCCACTTCAATAATTTTTGACACTTGAGCAGGTTTCACTCCGTTTCGAGGCAATTTTTGACTTTTGTCATCTTGTCGCTCAAACCTGCAATCAAGCGCACTTTGTAAGCATTCTGGGTCTATTTTATGACAATTCATACATAAAGCATAGGCAAGTATGGGCATAAAACGTCTTAAAATCACAGTTATCAACTCCCCCAAACTTAAACCTTTGCTTGTCCTCAAGCAAATAAAAGAAGACCCACCCCTAAAAAGGAAACATCCAAGTAATTCCAGCTTATCCTAAGGAAGCCTCATCACGCATCAATTGGGACTAACAATTGCCCTCAATACGAATGCATCATTAACTCATTTTTAAACTTTTAAGAACTATAGATCAAATGTGACTCGAGAGCATCAAGGGTTGACTCATTTCATCAAGGCGCTTTTCTCAAATACCTTGGTCTTTGTGGAACCCAAACTCGCACATCTTCAACTCTCCCTAAGCGAACCTCACCTTTTAGAGTAATGACACACAACCCGAGGTTGATGGATTTTTCACTCATTTCTCTCACAAAGAAGGTCATAAGTCCAGCTTTAGGTACCATATGCTTGCCCCTTATGTAAGTATCCACTAATGTAAGCTTCCCTCAACTCAAGATCATATAGGGCTTTTGAGGAGTCATTGTGAAGGCTTTTGGGTAAAGGTAGGACATGTTTTTGTTCATTTAGGTTCAATCTTCCCTTCAGCACTTCCTTTGATTCATTTTGGCATACTTTTTGACTCATTTGAGTATTTCAATTCTTTCAAGGGGTTAGAGAGACACATTGTCAATCTTTCTTTTGCAATTCAAACCTTTCTCCTTTTTCTACTTTTACACAACCTTTTTTCACTTTGTTTTCTTTGAATCCCCTTTTTTGGTTCTTATTCACTTTTGTATTTCTTTTTGTCTTTTTCTCTTTTTCATTGCCTCCCTTTTCTTTTGCTTTTGTGCCTCTTTACCACATTAATGCCTTTCTTGTCTCTCCCCCCCCCCAAACTTAGATATTTGCCATTACTCAAGGGAAGATTTGGGTGCCAAGAGAGGGTCTTATTGAGAACGGGTATAGGCTTGTAGCTTTAGTTCATGAAAGAAGAAAGTTTAAGGCTCAAAAGGGTTGAACTAGGGATCATTTCATTGGTAGGTCATGGAAATTGTTCGATTTTGGATGTTCGGATCAAGGACGGCCTATATTCACTTCTCAAGTCAAGTTTCACCTATGATTTCGCCTCAACAAACATTCAGGGCAAGTTTTAGACCATCGGCTTGGAGCTTAGACTCACAATTCGAATTCTCACCACACACACTCAAGGATTGCTAAAGACCTCGAGTTGAGAGCCCACAACGACCTTAGTTCCAATTCAAGCGCACAATGGCCCCACACGACCATATGATGATTGTTTGGTCAACACAAGAGTCTCAAGGCCACAATTTTTACCATCCTAAACACAACATTATGTCTTTGACCATGGGATCAAATGCAAATGTGTTAGGCCCAAGTGAAGCTTGCCTGAGGTCCTCTTAACTACGAAATATTGAAAATCAAAAGAAGAAAAATCAAAAACAGACTCAAACCCTTAAGAAGGTTGTCACGCCATCTATCATTGGGAAGAGCCGCCCGGTTCGCAAAACACACTACCCTTGGAAAGAACCGCGACATTAAGAAAACTAAGGGCTTATTGAAAACATCAAAACTAAAACAAAAGGCTG